GGTTGCTAGTAAGATCTTTTGGATTTTCAGAAAGGAGCGTATTTATATAATTTTATATACATACAAGCCCCTGAGAACCACAAGATTTAGATTCAGAGCATGCAATGCAACACAACTCTCCCAGCAACAGTAGTTTTATTCAGAAGCTGACCAAACCTAGCCATAGCTTCCATAATGGTGGTGATACTACGACTTGACAAACAATGTACAGTTCTATTCCAGAGACTTGAACTCCAGCATAATGGAAAGTTGAATATATCAAGGAATGGCAGACAACAAAGTTGGCTGATGGAAGGCCTTAGAGAACAAGTCGGATCTACTAGAACAGTGGTGTTCTTAAAAATGACTCGAAGATAACCTCTTGGGGTCCCTTCCAGACTTTTTAGAAGTGATTTAATCTGCATGTTAGATGTAGTCCAACCTGATTTATCTATGCTTTTCCTCAACGTATTCCTACAAATACACCAGAATAAAGTAGAAAGTTCAGCTTCTGAGACAGAGGGCTTGTCCAAGGTATCACCCTACTACGGTACTGTGAAACCAGATCGGTGCTTCAGGGAGCTCTTGAGAATTTGAAACATCTCTCTCCCTCCACTGCCTTCACGTAAAACTTCGTGTGGGCGGTTCCCAGAGGAAGCCTGCTTCCTCAGAAGCTGTGAAACCATTTTATTCTGATGCATTGCTAACCCCAGTGAACAAGAACTGGTTAGCTGGTTGGGGCTATAGCAAGAATGGCTGGGAACACTACTTGAAAGTTAGAATTGGCTTTCTACTGCTTCTCAGAAGACATCAAAAGGACAAAAAGCTAGTAGTTTAAGACTAAGAGCAACATTTTAATTTTGTTCCTCCTGTAGTCACTGCAAATGTAATGTAACAGTTCAGCTTTCCATAAGAAAGGAAAATACAGTTAGTATTACCTGTGTGTCCAATAAATGCATAATTAGCATAACAATTCTGCTTTAATATAAGGAAAAAACCAAATTGGTCCATCAGCTTTATAATTAATAACTGAGCTTCTGAGGAGAAAAGGAGCATCTTATCTCCAGACCAACGAAAGAACTATTTTTTAACTTGTCTTTACAGCGTCCATTCTGAACTCTTATGCTGAAAAGGGATGACAAGGAACAGAAGTAGAAGTATTTCAAGTCATCCTAGCACCCTGTGCTAACTTTGGAAATTTTCCCCCAACTTACCAGTAAAAGAGCAATGTATATAAAGGACAAAGTTTGACACATCACATCCAGTGGATCAGCTAGATTTCAATGGATTACGAAAAGCTTTGTAGCCCAGATGTCTTAACTACATGCCTAAAAAATCCTAATCTTCAACTCTTTATGACCTTAAATATTACACCGCATTTCAGATGCAGGTCTGTGTAAAGCCATCACAGGTGCTGGAGCATATCCAATGAAGAGCAACAAAGCTGGTGAAGGGCCTAGAGAACAAGCCCTATGAGGAGTGGCTGAAGGAAACTGGGGTTGTTCAGCCTGGAGAAAAGGAGGCTGAGGGGAGACCTCATCGCTCTGTACAACTACCTGAAAGGAGGTTGTAGCAAGGTGGGGGTCAGTCTCTTCTCCCTAGTAACAAGCGACAGGACAAGAGGAAACGGCCTCAAGTTATGCCAGGGGAGGTTTAGGTTGGATATTAGGAAAAATTTCTTCACCCAAAGGGTAGTCAGGCACTGGCACAGGCTGCCCAGGTTAAGTGGTTGAGTCTCCATCCCTGGAGGTATTTAAAAGACCGGTAGATGCGGTGCTTAGGGACATGGTTTAGTGGTGGACTTGATAGTGTTAGTTTTACATTGGACTCAATGATCTTAAGGGTCTTTTCCAACCTAAATGATTCTATGATTCTATCAGTTCAGCTGTATACAGGCTGCCAGTGATTCCCAGATAAACCACCAGCCTTCACTATTCCAAAAAGTCATTTGTATTTTAGACACAGGGTCATCACAGCATTCAACTTCCATGTGTGATAAGCATTAGCTAAGAACCCTAAAACAGTCTTTTCTGAGGAATAACAAGAGTAACAAACTGTGCTTTGTCACAGGAAAGCCTTGTTGAAAATTACTTGAAATTCCATAAAACAAATTGGTCCTTTTTAAGGGACAACAGTTGGTGTAATGGCTTCAACCATTAGTATCATCTACAGAAAACTGTATTAGTCATGTGACATGTACATTAAAAACTTTTGTAGAGACTGAACTGTTAAGAGCCAGCACAGGTCCACCAGTACTTTTCAAGTTAAGCTCTTACGAGTGTAAACTGTTTCTAATATGAGCTTAGAAGAAGCTTGGCTGTATTTCACTGGGCAACTGCATGGTCACCAGTATCAACAACAGAAAGCACAGGTTTGCAGCAGCCCAGGCTACTTCAGCTTAAGATTAAGGGGCCACTCTAATCATTCTAGTCAGTTTAAGAGCTTAGAATCTTGATTCAGTGTCTCTACTATTTATACGTATTTATTATCCTCTGAAAGTGAATTATGCCCGCATATTTTTAATGCTTTTACTGCTTTCAGTGGAAGACTGTTTAAAGAATGCTCTGCGGTCACACTACATGAAAGACTAACCAGCTTACTTCCATCAGATGATTAAATCTGCTACAGTAACAGAAAGTTTACAAAAGCCCTGGAGGTCACCTTGACTAAGCTAACCTTTTCCATAGTCGGTACTTTTATTAAGGTACACTTTTTGCATTTTATGTCCAATTAACATCTGAAACATTTCTTGGAACACTCTTCCTCCTCTCAATAGCTCAGAAGTCTCACATGAAAGATTTATGAACATCCCCACAATTTATATACTGTAGAAGACAGTACAGAATGTTAGCTTACAACAATTCTATTTCCAAATTAACTGCATCCAACATAGAATTATTTATATTAAACCTAATCTTAGCAAGTGAAGAGGAACAATCTCTTATTCCTTACATAATTTTAACTTGATCAAACTGCTAACCTTTTTACATTTGTGGTATGCAAACAGACTAAGGAGATATGCATCACTATTCATTGGTTCTCAAAAGTTGTGAAAGTACAAAAAAAATACTCATTATTTTTGTTTTCCTGTTTAAAAATATGTTAAGGAGGTTATTGACTTCTAGTCCAACAGCTTAAGCGATATTCTATGACAAAGGCCAGATATGCAAGAGATCAGCTAACAGGGTAAATGAAAGCAGCTGAAATCAGGCACATGTAAAATAATGAAGCTTCTTAGCAATAAGTAGAAGCGTAGTATTTACAAAAGCAACAAAGAACAGCTTTGAAGAAAAATCTTAAATATATTGGTCCAGCATTCGCAGTTCCGCTATTTACATATACTGACATCAGACATTCAATACTTTTCCTGCATTTGGGGTAACAATAAAATACACCCCACTCCAAAAGTAACTAGGAAAAAACATTAAACAGTCAAAGTTAAACAGTCAGTAATTTTTAGAACTTTCAATAAGCGTTGAACTACCTGATCTCCCAGGTATCTGCTATCAAAGAACATATGAAATCAGCCTATGTTACAAACAAGGTGTGACAACAGATGTTCAAGCAAGGGTCATAAGATAACTGTATTAAGAGAAAGAACAACCTCTTAATATAAGACCTGCCTCAAACAGAATGAGCTGATGAGCAAAGTTCCAGTTCATAAATATTTCATCAGCTAGCCCACGTGAATAGAAGCAAGCAGATGTGGTACAACATTTAGCTCTGCATGAAGAAATCTAAAAATACTACAAGCTTTCCTAAACTATCTAGTTGCAGTAACATTTTTCTAACCTCATCTCCTAGCCCAAGTTCACTCTCTTATAACATTCTGCACATCTTTGTAAGATTGCCTCATCTTTATGACTGTTGAACTTAACCAATTCCATTCAAATTGTACCAAGTATAGAGAGCAATACATTCTCACAAGCTGCGTGAAAAATAGCTGGTTTAGGAAGGACCTTAATGCCCTCGCTCACAGACTACAATGAATGCACAACCCTTAACAGTTGCCAGACAATTCATGTGTGAACTCAAGTTTTGAGGCATCTTATTTGTTATTTGAGCAACTTATTTAGAACACAAAACACTTCAAAACAGAAATGGAAAGAAATATAACATGGGATAAAGGACATCTTTCCTAAATGAAGGATCAGTCCTCACAACATATTTAAGCAAGTAGGATGCACCATTTGAATCCTAAATTAACAGTCACAGCATTTCTTCACAGAAAGGCATAACTAACATTAGACAGGATCAGAGCAGTGAAGAAAAGTGAAATTCATGCAGCATTAAGGCAGTTAAGGAAAACCATTTTACCTTGGAAGTGGCATATGAAAACATTACACAGCATGAAATCCTTTGGCCAAATGATTTAAGTGGGTTCATATACTGAAAATGCACTGTTAACCTCTTCTTTTCAAAGTAAGCGAGGTGTAACAAGAAGGAGCACATATGAATGGAGACAAAACATTGTTTGAATTAACTACTGCTTTGTAAATGGATCACCTTTGTAATATGAATCAAAGGGAGAACTGAAACAGATTAAGCTTATTCTCCCCAGGACAAAATTTACAAGCTCTATAACAGAGAAAGCTTGTCTTCCTACTTTTACTTCCCCTCACTCTGCCAACCCAGATGGGTTTTCAGTCATCTGGCAAAAGCAGAGGGAAACCACACCTCTGAGCAACTTCACAGTGGAGATTCCATCCCATGAAACACTTAAGCAGCTGCCAAAGCTAAATCCCACTCCTCCCTGTTTGCTGAAGGAATGCATTTTTTTTCTTGCCTGATTTGCCGTTAATTGCTCTCTAGCTGGAGCTCACAATACTCTCTTAATGGTCACTGTTACTTTTCTTAGCTGCAAAGTCCTAGAACTTTCTCTTTCAACTGTCTTCTCCATAATCAGTGTACCCTCTCTGGTTTAGCAACATAAACACCGTTTGTTTGATAATCTTACGGAAAAGAATTCCTAGTAATACACTTTGCTAATGGATAACTTGTTCTAAACATTTGTATCTCACCTTTGACAGAAGCAATTTCACACAGGACACATGGCCCTCGTAGACTGCTGATAGGAGTGGTGTGATATTATGTTTGTCTGGAGCCTGTAAATTGAGACACACTTATTTGAAGCACAATTTCACACAGCATTAAAAGGTTTCACTTAACTTTTTAATTTCATTTTGTCAACAGTAGAGTGAGGGTAAGGACTTAAGAGTATTACGCAGAAATGCATTCCTTCAGAATTTTTTACTCTCCTTTTAAAAAAGAAAAGTCATTGTTTTAAAAACAGTCAGGTAACAGCAAGACATGTCTTCCATAAGACTTCTAGGTATCCCAAAGTTTGTCTGGTTTTTTAGGCCAATGATAGAAATCATGGGGTTTCAGGTGACAAATTTTGCCCAACTTAAAAACAGTACTCCTAATTCTCCCATTTCTCAGCCAGCCTGACTTCAGAAACCAGTTTTGGCTGAAACAGTCTGTGCTGTCTTCTCCTCTCTAAACTACAGTCCTGGAAAGAATAAGAAATGGGGCAACTGAAATGTTCTTATTTTTTCCTTCTCTCCAGTTAGAACTCCTGAGGAAGAGATAATCTTTCCAGACACCAAGGAAAAAATCCAAGCCATTTTGTTAAGGACTAAAGCCAAGATATGTTGTACATTAACTTTCAGACCAGTATTCTAAAGCACAGTGTTTGGGGTGTATGGTTAAAGTATTTAGAAACTTCACTTTATGGAGAACCACACTACTTTGAAGTGCCCATAAAGCCATGCATTTCAAGCTACAGCAAAATAACTAAGTTTGTATAAGTAAGAATGTCTCCAAAAAAAGAGCGAAGCACAGCAATTTAAACAGAGTTGATCCTGCCCTGGCCAAGGATGCATTGCACTGTCTTCTGAAGTCCCTTCCAACAAATGCAATATGTATTTCATGCAAACTTTTCTTAGATGTGATTACTGGATTTATTTTTCTAATCATGGTCAAATTAAATTTAACTATTTATAGCTACAAACAACTTTTCCTATAGTATGTCTAAAAAGAATAAAAACATTTAATAAACGTAATTTTAAGCTTCTAACCTCTAGGAGACCACCTCTTAAATATTTTTAAATGCATCAAATTGTTTAGTTTAAGTCTTTCAGTAACCATTTAGGCACTTATACCAATGCCTTGGCGGGGGTGTGTGTGTGTGGGTGCGTGTGAAAGGAAGAAGGGAAGGGACACCATAACACCTTAACATCTGTTTGCAAATTGATATACATACATTAATATCAGCTCCTTTCAATAGCAGAAATTCCAGAATCTCAAGCTGTCCACAGTCTGCTGCATAGTGAAGAGGCTTCCTCCCACCTTCAAGTGTCCGGTTGACATCTTCACCCTTCAATGTAAACATAATCTAATAAGCAAAGTTTTAGAGCTAACACAGCAAGAAAAGCTTGAAAAAATCCAACACCTTCAAATATTATGAAGAATGTTCCATCCAAATATTTAAGTAATTTTCATTTTCCTCAGGCAATTAAGCTGCTTGATTTCTTTTCCCTCATCTATGCATTTAAGACTTTAAGACAACCTTGGTCCTTCCTTCCACACTGCATCTCAAGTGTAGTGAGTACCCAAGTGCACTAGGTAACTCATGCGATTAAAAAAAACTTAAAAAAAAAAATCATTAGAGCTTGTAAAAAATGCTCACACTGGCTCATTTTGCTTCTCCTTCCCCCTAACTGGGATCCTAGTTATCTGGCTAAGTTACTTTACCTGCTTCTACACATACTGAAGTTTTGCACACTGAGAAACCAGATGCATAGAAATAAGTCAGCATCGTAACTACTAGCACTGTACTAAGTACGGACCATCCATTACTTGAAACCCAATTATGAAACTGTCCATTCTGTTTTATAAATAGCATCTGCCAATTCTACATGACACAAAAAAGTCTGAAGACAGTCAACCAAATCAGGACACAGGAGGTTGTACTCTAATGCCACTTGTACTAGTGGATTGAGACATCTCTTAAGGCGTAAACAAAATTTAATTTAGTGAGTGCCTAATCAGCTTTGTTTCTTCACCTTGGGTTGCGCAACTAAGGATAAACTGATTTGCTGCACTTCAGTAATGAAGAGAAGTTACTGGAAACCAAATACTGACAAGCTATGTGGTAAGTGACTTCTTGTTCGTATGTGCAAGTAATGTTAGTATTTTAGGGAGTGGCTAAATTTAGCATTATAGCTGAAGTCTTGCATCTCCATAGAAAAACAATCAAAAGAATTTCAGCTGTAGCACTGATTCTTACTTCTCTACTGAGCCCCTGAAGTTCCCTCACTCCTGCCTCAAATCTCTAGAAAGTTCACAGAATAAAGGGCTTGACATATATCTTCCAGACATCACCTCTCTTCTAAGAATGAAAGAGAAGATTGTCAGAAGGAAATCTTATTCTGCATTTGATGCTCTGTATTATCAGAGTTTTATACTACCAGCCAAGTAACAAGACGACCTCAGAGTTCTCCTCTCCTATCAATACAATATTCAGTTCTTCTCATAATATACCCTGCTGAAAGTCAAAAGCAACACAACAGTGTAACTTCAGGTGTTTAAATAAAACACTGCACATTCTGTGGCCTCAGAGGTCAGGACCTGGTTCTCACACTGTTGAAGGTTCTGGCTTCAAAATAGCATGAAGTAGCAGCAAGTAGCATAATGGAAAAAACCTCTGCAACTGCTGTTACTGGCCCATAAATATGGCTATGGCTTCTGAAGCATGTTGGACATCAGCAAAAAGATAGCTTTTATCTATGATTTTCAAAACAGCAACAAATTGTACTTCTAAACAAAGTCCAACGCAGCTTTAGCTATGTGGACTATCAACACTGTACAATAGTTTATAATGTAAAATTCCAATATGACCAACTGAAGGTCTAACTCTCTATCTGCAACAACTTTACTGGTAAACAGTATTGTGCTGCAACTTCTCTTTTGCTGAATTTCTGTACAAAACATTGGTGGGGATATGTTAACAGCTGTGTTCCAATAAAAAAAAATAATCATGCAGATCACAGTATACTAACAGCATACAAACAGCCAGACCAGTCTGAAAAGTGTGTAAGGAAACAGCATATACTTAGCTTATCTAGGAAGTTGAGCACTACCCATATTCTTATTCACACCTTGCCACTTCCTGTCAATTTAAAAAACAGCTAGCATTTAAATAACACACGATGTTTGCAGATACTTAAGGATGGGGATGCATAAGCTTAGGAAGCCAACCATGTAAAAGCCACGCAATCACTACCCCAAAACAGGCTCTAAAAATTCCTGTAATGTCACATGTTAAGACATGGTAAATAAAGGGGTAAGGGAGAAGGACAAGCAAGCTAACTCCTGGCACAGCACACAGTAAAGCTACAAAGTTCACATTCAAAAAGAAATTTAGAATCATCATGTCTTAAGATTAGGACAGTCCAAAGCTCCTCTTCCTTAAGCTTATAAATATTATTTGGCTCATTGGCTTACACTATAGGATTTTTCTTTTTAAAGACTATACCACAGTTTCCTCTGTTCTCTCCTGTGCTGGTTGTGGAATAAATACTGCTGGACAATGAACTTTTGGAAGGAAAAAAAAACAACACCCAAACACCAAGTTTTCTAAGTTTCCCTTAAAGATGATGAAAGCTTGGTTATAAGGGAGTACCTAGCAAGAAGTCTGCAAACAATGATGTCCCAAACACAGACCATGTGGATTTGAATACTAGCACTGAGAAAATATATCAACAGCATTCAAAGTCAAGTATCAGAACATTTTAGTCCAAATTAACAGAACAAAGATATCAGATAAGTTACGAAAATAAAATAACCTAAATACTCCTAGGTTCTGCAGCAAAGTCAAATATCCAGTTGTTTCAAGGGTGTGAAAAGCCACTGTAAAGCAGACCACTGAATGTTATAAAACTTCATTTGGCCTTTCCTACTCCCAGTCTAAGACATAGAGAAGTAGGAAGCAAAGACAAATCAAGCCATTTCATATACAGGGATCAAACCCTGGCACAAGAACCTGCTTTCAATGCAGTCTCTAGCACACGTATGTCAGAAAACTTACAGGACTCTTCACAGATAATTTCTCTCTGGCCTTTAGATCTCCTATTTATATTGCCTGGGGCATCCCCCCCGAGGAAGAGCAGTGGTCTCCAAAGTGGGGTGTGAACACCTGGAGAGGTGTGCAAGACAATCCATTGAGGTGTGACAAGAAAATATTTTTTGCACTGTAAAAATAGTGTTTATTTAATCTTTATCTTTCATTTCCATTTTTGGGTATGTTTTAGAATGTATGTAATAGATTAGTACAGTAGTACATTATATAATTTATAAATAAATATACAGATTTTGGTGGTGCATGCTCAATTTTTTTTTTACTGATGGGGTGCATGATTAAAAAGGTTTGCAGACTACTGGTCTAGAGCTCTATCTGTATCCATGTAAACAATAAATTAATTCTTTTTCAGAGGGAGTTTCATGCTGGAAGACTAAACAGTTTCACTGGAAATTTCATAGGTCAACTAAAAAACCCCTAAACCTTACCCTACACACAGATTATTCAGGTTAAAGATGAGCTGTTATAAAACTCACAAGAATATCCTTATAGTTATACTTTTGCAAAGAGAAAGTGCCTTTAGGCATGGAAATATCGACTTTTAATAGAATTTCAATTAAAGATACAAAGTTTCAATCTTTATCTACACCAGCTACCATTTATGTGCTTAATTAAGTCTCCAAGATAAAAATTGCATATAAAATCACCTATAAAACGGGAAAGTCAGAAAACTGCTTGAACCCTCATGATCCAAATATGGTAGTACACTGGTGCCAAAGACAGTAGTTACCACAGCTGCAACAATAAACTTTTTACTTGCCTAGACGGTAATGTGAAACATATCTAACATACTAGATAAGGTTGTCAAAGATTATCTCAACAAGCTGCTGTTGTTGTTTAAGCTTAAGATATACAGTCCTGTGGGTGTTGATTTTTGTCTTCACTGGATGAGTACTCCAAGTTGGATTCTCTTGCTCTTCCACTGGTCTGAAGTATTCTGTTCGGCTAAGCCAGGGAGAGATATTGACTTATGTGGGCAGTTGGGTTCTCTAGTTTTGACAGACTGGCCAGCTGTGACAGATCACACTTTGAATAGAAAACACATCTTCTCTATATGGTAGCATCTAAAAAGTGAATGACTAGAGAACACACTAGAGAATTCAAGGATTCACATTAGCAAAGAAATTATATATTGTAGCTATAGCAACAAGCTCCAAATGCCAATTCACATCTTCATATGATAAAAGAAAATCTAAGCATGAGGTCAAGATTTGAGCCCCCTCTCATAAATAAATAAATAAATAAGGCAGCTCTGGTGAAGGTGTGGTTAATTATGCCAACAAAATGAGACAAAGTGGTCTCTCAATCCCTGTAACAGGCTGAGGCAGGAAACAGCACAGGAAGTAAAGATTCAACGAAAAGAGTTATCTTTAGGTAAAGTTTTCTGAAATTACTGTGTTTTTGAATAATATTGGCCAAAGACATCATACTGAATGTTATGAACTTGGGTACCAGCAATCTTATCAGGTTATGATTCTCAATACTGACCTCTGAGACAGCAAAGTAACCAATATTTTGGTAGGCTGAAACTAAGACTGTACTAAATAGCTGCTAAAGTTTTTCTTTAAAAAAAGACCATACTCCACACAGGCATATGGTCAGAACCCACATGAACTGCCCAAGAGCAGCATGGTTTTTCCTTTACACCTGCAGGAACAAAATCTTATTTATATTAGACAAAAAGTGACAGAACAATTCTCCCAGGAATTTTTACGGGACTTTTGCCATCTTCTAGAGTCTAACAGAGCATCAACAAGGTTAATAGTTATGAGGGTACTTTGAAGGAGACGTAATTAAGTCAGAATCAAAGAATCACATCAACTTCAAAATAAAATATACCTTCAGTCAAAGCCCACACCTGTCCTGAAAGAAGATTATTTATTTACACTTTATAGAATGGACCTATAAATTCACTACCAATTGTGCAAATGTTTGTGCAAAGCCTCAGAAAAGAATTTGCCCTTGCAAAAGGAAAGACACGATCACCTCTTTAATGACCTTCCAGAATACACCGAGTTTACTTAGTCAGACATTTAAGGCTAAGTCTAGCATAAACCACATCAGTGATGTTTTTCTTTGCAGATCAAAGACCTAGAGCAGCAGCTATTCGATAACATTAAAAACTGGTTCAACACATGAAACATCAGAACCAGCAGTTAGCAGGTATCTGCTTTAATGCCCTCTATTAAAATCTGATTACAGGTGAAGAAAAGCCTCTCTGAATCTCCAATTACTAAACAAGACAGCATGAA